TCATTATTAGGATAAAATTATATCATTTTTTTAAAATTAATGCGGATTAATCTCAACTCTTAAACAAAGTTGAAGTTTCAACATATATTTAGAAACTATATTTAAAAAACTGAAATTTCAATTCAAATTTTAAAAGTTTAATCTTTTTTTTAATTTAAATATCAATATTTAATAATAACATAAACTTTTAAATTTTAAATTAATTTTTAATTAAATAAAATAATGTAATTTAAAATTAAGACTTTAATTTCTTTGAGTTGGATCTGATATTCATTTCCCCCCCTTTTTTTTTCTATTTAGTTCAAAAAATTAATTTTATCTGTACTCTCTCGTTCTCAAAATAACTTTTTTTTTTATTTTTTTAAATTAAAATTTTAAGGATAATTTATGTTTACTTATATTACCCTTAAAAAGAAATAAAAGATGAAAGGATGATTAATTAAAGTAAATAAATAAAAATTACGTTAAAGTAAAAAAAAATTGTTATTATCTATTTACTTTAATTAATCATTCAATTACAAAATGTATCTCTTCATTTTTTATTTCTTTTTAAGGGCAATACAAATAAACATAAATTATCCTTAAATTTTTAATTTAAAAAAATAAAAAAAATATTTTGAGAAAGAGAGAATACAAATAAAAATTAATTTTTTGTACTAAATGAAAATAGAAAAAAATACATATCTATCTTGACTCCCAAAAAAGATTGAAGTTTTAAGTTTAAATTATTTCGTTTTATTTAATTAAAACTTAATTTAAATTTCAAAAGTTTATCTTATTAAATGTTGATATTTAAATTTAGAAAATAATTAAATTCTTAATTTTGAATTAGAATTTAAGTTTTTAAATTAATTTTTAAATATATGTTGAAACTCTAATTTTTTTAAAAGTCAAGATTAATCCATATTAATTTTAAAAAAATGATATAATTTTATCCTAATAATAATAATGATGCTTTTTTTAGTTGTTAATAAATATTAAAAGATATAGATTTATTACAAAATAAAAAATAAAAAATAAAAAAATATCACTGAGAATGTGAAAATATTATTAAGATGTATAAATGAAAAAAAAAAAAAGAAATACAAATTTTCAAAATTGCATATGCCAGCTAACTCGTGCCACATAATTATTCCATAAGATTCCGTTAAAAAAACTAATAAAAGTTTGCAAGATAGATGAATTTAAAATGATTTTCATAGTTTATAGATGAATTTGAAAAAAAAAACTATACTATCTAAATTAGAATGAAAATAGAATAATAGTTAGTAGATGAAAAGGTAAATTTAGCCCTTAAATGTCAGATTTGTTTGAAGACAAGAATAAAGATAAGTGCAGAAAAAATCAATAATTTAGAGGCTGATTCTTTAAAATAAAATTAAAATTCAGTATGTATAACATCCAAGTTACAGTAAACACGAACTCAACACATTCAGTATGAAAAGATTCATCTCCAACTTTAACTTCATGCTTCTTCTCTCTTCAGCAAATCCATCTACACCATGCCCAAAAATTCACAAATACTAGATTTAGTCCTTTGCATTTTGGCTTATGGATTTGAGGGGGAACCCACTATCCTCAAAGGGATTTCTTCTTTGTAAGACTTCAAAGAGGATTTGGTAATGAAGTTTTTCAACTGTGATTTTCCAAATCAAGGAAATTTATACTAAAAAAATTCAATGAAATTTATTCATTTAAAAGCCTAAAAAAGAGTACATAGCTAAGATCCTAAATGAAAACTTGTGAGCTTGTTGCAAAAATACATGGACGACCCAATATGTTTCTCAAGTAACAAGCATAAATCAGAAAACATGAACTGACAAAGATAGGACAGACACATTTCTATCAAACTGTCAAAGTAATATTAACTTCAATAATAAAACTAAAACCTCAAGAAAGTCTCCTCGCAGCCAATTCTAGAATTCAATGTTTGGCTCATAATAAGAATTACTTCAATATTTCTGCGGCATTACTGTCATGCCCCAGAATCCAAATCCGAGGCATAACAAACGCCGTACACTTGTGAGAGGATCCCACAAATGCACAAAGCTCGGAACTTATTATACCACAATCTGATACCACAAAATCTGAAGATAAAATTTTAAAATTTGCTATAATATCATAAAATCTCCAAATAAAGTCTAGCTTACAAGATCATGATTTATATCTAAAATTTCATATCCAATTACAATAGCTAGCCTTTTAGCTCGTCACTCCCCTTGTTTCTCGCATCTTGAGTCACACTACCTGAAATGGTGGACAAGAAAAACTATGAGATAACTCAGTAAGTAAATATGGATAGCCCTGGGTAAAATTTAAGCATGTCAGATAAACAGTTTAATATAACAAAACCTTCAATGATAAACCGTTAATACAGAATCAAATTCAGTTCAATAGCAAAGCGTTCAATGACAAACCGTTAATGGAGAATCAGATTCAGTTCAATAACAAAGCGTTTAATGACAAACCATTAGAAGAAAATTCAGTAGTAGTCTCGTCTATAAGTCATGGACAGCGTTTAACACCCACTGGCAGGCATCAGAAATTACCAATGTGTTCGTCCATTGGCAGGCGTCAGAATTTACCAATGTATTCGCCCAGTGGCAGGCGTAAGAAATTACCAATATATTCACCCAGTGGCAGGCGTCAGAAATTACTAATGTATTATCCCATCTTCAGGATTACAGAATGAACCGATCATATTAGTAAACATGTCGACATGTGCTAGCGTTTACTCCCACTAGCGAGGGTCAGAAATTATGACTATATCGAGACAAAACTACGTAGGATTTACAGAAAATTCCAAAATTCACAATCAATCTCAAATTTCAGAAATAACCAGAAAATTTCCATGTGGACATGGATTTAACAGGAAAATCATAATTTACAAAAATTCTCAAATCATCAGAGCAGTTCAGTAAATTCCAAGTGGGCATGCTCTACTCAATGAAAACGAAAATAATTCCATTTCAAATCAATCATGCTCGATGCTAATAAAATCAATTTAAACCTTGCCACCATTTCAAAAACAATTTAAAATATGCTTTGAAATCGAAGGGTGTTACCATAATTTACTTACCTCAAATTGCATAAAACCGAAGACTCAAGCCACATACTAAAGTGCCCCAAGGATCAAGAACCTAACCAAATATTCAAGAATTAATTCTCTAAGCAATTTCATTGACCGGATTGTGTACATATATATATATAGTTATATACACAAATACATATATAAATGGTTTCCCAATCTCACGGCAAAAGGGAAGAGCACGGCTTTGGCAAAAACAGGGGCTAAAACACTCGGGATTTTCCTCCAAAATCATAGCAGCCAACTCAAGCAATTTATACATGAATTAAGCTTAATTATGCTCTAATTACTACCGAAATTCATCCCCATTTTTCAACAGATTTTTGGACAGTGCAAGGGTAGCCACTACATGGATAAATTCAACAAAACAATAGCTAAATAGACTAAAAATTCGAACTTATTGTAGCTGTTACATACCAGAATTTTTCCAGCTGCAGAACCGGACCTGGCGGGGAGAAGAAGCCGGTGGCAATTCTGCAGGGGACTCACGGAATTAACCCAAAATTGAAGGAACAAGAGGAACTTAGAGTAACCCAAGTTAAATTAAGGCTAAAAGGAGGAAACCCATGACTGTAGCTTACCGAAAAATGCCCAGAAATTCACACCCAGCAGAAACCGACGGACAGGGGAAGAAGAGCAGAGTAGAGCATATCTAGAAATTCTCTGCAGGGGGGAAGGTTTCAAGGCTCCAAATCTTGTTCTTGAACAAGAAAAGAAAGGCAAAAAACCCAAGTCTTACCGATTTTTCTTCAAGGGAAGGCTGTCGGCAGCTTGCTTCTTGTTCGGCTGCAGGGGAGAAAAGAAAAAGCAGAAATGCGAAAATGGCCGGGGAAGAAAGAAGGAAAAAAATAGCTGATTCTTATCCAAATCCTTTCCTCTTTTAAGTCCCTCAAGTTTCAAAATTTTCACTACTAGGCCCCAAACAATATTTTTCTCAAAATAAGTCCCTAACTTAAATGATCAAAATTTTGAAAATTTGGGATATTACAATTACAGAACCAGGTAAGTCCAACTCACTCGGATGGTAATGCCTTAAGGATGTGGAATTGAGCTGTCATTGTAGAATCAGCATGCTAGCTGCGTGGTGAAACACTTCTTGGTCTAGGAGAATCGCTGTTACCATTGTGTTCATTAGGATTCTCAATTGTATGATGTTTCTTGCGTGGAGATTGGCTCCTATTGTTAAGGCTATACCGAGGGTGAGAAGTACTTCAAACACCAGATAGGAGAAAATTTAGTGATAAAAAAGAAGGCAAAAGAGAAGGCACTAGTTACCACCTTCCATTAGACCGACCCCTTTAGCCACGCTACTCTTCATTCCTCCCAATATGCCTGTGGTGATCAGGACTGTGATCTAATCGCAATCATTTCCGCCCGACTATCCCTACTTCTTCTAAAACATCTCTTATGCCTCCTATCCTTATATTCATCGTGATACTTGAAAATGCTGCTCCATCAGACACTAAGTTAGATTTCAGAAAAATAAGTCACAATTAGGATCAAAATCTTCCATAGCAGCTAACACCAAATTTAATCACGTTAAAAATTTCATGTTCTTTTCGATTACTATGTATTACATGGATCCTAATGAGCTGTTCAAAAAAATGAAAAAAAGAATCTGAATGCATCAAATGCTCAATCAATTTTGAAGCAATGCAGCTTTCTGTTCTCAATGCATCCTCTGCATTCATCTCTTCCATTTCTTTTACATTTTCGACCACAAAATTTTAACCTATATATGATTAGAGTGCAATAATGTACAATGTGTTGGAACTTGGGATTGAAAACATATCATTTGGCTTTGAGGCATGCTATGAATGCTAGCTTTCTTTATGTTATTTTCACCCCTGCTATTTCAATACGCAAAAAGGGTTGATGGAAAATGCTTGCAAGGCACAATAAAAGCCTTGTTGATTGTGTCTTGTTTTAACGAAACCAACATTGAATCTTGCTTCTTCAAGCAGCGAAGCCATCACTTTCATATAAGGGTTTCTACAGCAATTATTGCACAAAAAAGAACTCTTCTATTTTGATAATAATAGGATTTATTTGTATTTTTCATATAGGACTCTTTTTTAGAAGAGGATGAAGACAAGCCTTTTATAGGCTATAGGTGTCTCTTGGAAATAGAAACCTTCCAAAGAACGTATCTCTCAATTTAACAGAAAGAGTTTTATTATGGGAAGGTACCTTTTTATTTACAACCTTTCCCAACCATTGTCTTCTTTCCTCTATTTTGAAATTTCTCCAATATTCTGAAATTTCTCCAATATTCCCCCATTAATAGCTTTGAAAGTCTTATGCATACCAAGGAGATATCTAGCAATTTGAAACTTCACTTAGTGAACATGTGTTAGCAAATTATCTAGAATTGCATGATTGTTTTGAACCAACAATTCTAAGTAACTAATTGGGAACATGTCATACATGAGATTTCAAGCTTTCTAAAGTAAGAATTAAACCATCACCAACACAAAAACTATTGGTGTGTCCTATATCCTTTTTTTATGAGTGCTATCAGAGTTAAGTCCCCAACTCTTAGAAGTGGTACCACTTCCACTTATATAGCCAAATCTCATCAAAAGTGCCCAGCATTAAGCATGTAATACCCCAAAATTTTGTGCTATTTTAGCATTTAAGTAAGGGTTTTTGTGTGAGAAAAATATTGTTTTGGGCTTAAGAGCCGAAATGTCCAAAGTTGAGGGATTTAAAGAGGGAAAATAATTGGATAAGGATCAGTTTCTTTTCTTTTTCTTTTTCCTTCTTTTCTTCCCCAGCCATTTCCCGATTCTGTTCTTCTTCTTCCCGCTGCAGCCGAACAAAGCCCCCAAGCTGCTGGCAACTTCCTCCCTTGAAAAACCGGTAAAGCTTGATGATTTTCCCTTATTTTCTTGTCCAAGAACCTGATTTAGAACCCAGAAATCTTTCCCTCTCTGCAGAAACCCAGATCTGGTCGGTTCTCCCCTCCCCTGTCCGTGAGCTGCAGCTTGTGGGTGGGTGATTTCTGGGCATGTTTCGGTAAGAACAGCCATTAATTCATCCTGTTAGCCTTAAATTAACTTGGGTTTACCTTAATTTCCTCTTGGTTCTCCAATTTTTGAGGTAGGCTGTGAGCTTCTTCTCCAAATTGCCGCCGGCTTCTCTTCCCCCTGCAGCTCCGGTTTTAGCTAGAGAATTATGGTATGTTGACAGCCATTTAAGCTTGAAATTAGCCATCTAATTGCTACCCTATTGTTGTCCGAATTTGGCTGAAAATGGGGGATAATTCCGGTAACTTTAGGATGAGATTTAAGCATTAATTCAAGTGGGATTTATGTGATTGAGTGTTAATTGATTGTTGTGAGATTTTTGGAGAGAAAACCCCGTGATTAGCTAGTGTGTTGGCCAATTTTTGGAAGTGCAGTTACTGTTCACGTCGGGGTCACTGTTCATCGGTTACTGTTTACACCCGAGGGCCAACAATTAACGGGGATTTAAATGATTAGTTTGTGATATAAGAACGAATTTGGAGATATTTGATGATGTGGAGATTGATAGAAATAACATTGTGATTAGGAATGATCCTAATGATGATTTCAGTGTGAATTTGTGATAGTGGTATTAATTCTTGAAATATTTTGATTAGGTTCCTGATCGTTCTGTCAGTTAGTACGTGAATTGAGTGCTCGGTTTTATGCAAGTGAGGTAAGTAAATTTATGGTAATGCCCGTACTATTTTATAAGCATGTTTTGATTTGTTTTTGAAGTGGTGGCGGGACTAAACCCGTTTTACAC